CTACAAAATAACACTGAAGGCTGGTCCTAATTGTCTTATCATGGCAAACAAGTCTTTCTTTGCTTTTTCAAATTATGGTAGGGAACCTCTTAATGCTCTAAGAAACTGAAATCCATCATCATGATGAATCAATTTCTCTAATGCTCCTTCTTGTTTAAGTTGTGCTGCATTTAAAGTTCTGCTATTCCCTTTGCACTTTCTAAGAGCAACTTGGGAATTTCCTAATAGTATTTTCATTTGCAGTTTCTTTGTTTTAAAGAATATGTTTTCAACACACATAGCCGCTCTTCTATCTGACTGCCTCAATTCAGATTTACAAATGTCACTGTAATGCACGCTAACCAATCTCTCTTTATTTTCTGAAGCCTTTCACTCGTTCACATTGAACCGTGCTTCGAAAACTGTGGCATAATGAGAAACAAACTTTGAGGAAATTCATTATAAAGACTCCACAAAAGACCGCTTCACTTACCTACTTCACCATCCACGCGTGGGTTTGACTACGCACAACGTCGAAAGAAAACATTACCTTTTCATCGACTTGTTGTTTTCTTCGCGTTTCCAAATTCCATTGGTCTCGACTATTCCTCGCTCTGTTTTTTTCTTGAATGGGATTCGTCGTAGTTTTTTCGTTTCCGACTCCCCGCGATTATAAATCGATTTGTTTACACATTTTTTGGTTAACATTTTCTTTCCCCTTCATGTCGACCATCACAAAATGTATACTTTCATGTGGCCTTACTAGTATGACCTCGTAATTTGTGGTATATGAAGTATTTTTCGAAATTTTTTGCACTCTTCCATAGGTGTCTTCGTGCTAAAGCACTAGACACCAAAAATGTAATTATGCTCCACTCGAATGGAATGGAAAAACCGCAACTTCCGATGATTACATTTCTACTCATTTTCAAGATACAACTCTACTTTGTTCACTCATTTTCCAGAAACAAGAGTCCAGAGAAATGTCTCATACAAACTTAACGGGTCTAATTCGAAAAAACTTAAAGGGCGGTACGCTAAGCTTATTTTCTCTGTAGAAACAATACATGTCTTAAAGAAGACAACAGTAAATCGTTAACACAAGGTCCACGAATATTCCTAACCAAATGTTACAGAAACATATAACAGGAACAATTTAAAACACGTAAAACGAAGAAACTCAAAAATAGCCTACAAAGCGGCATCGGTAAAGCTGATTCAGTTTCACCTCCATGATCGAAGACCTAGGCCTACGTAAGGTTAACTCCGACAAACCCTTCTTTATACAGGTCATGGTTTTTAACTTTTAAAGTCCAGAAACTGTGTTGATTAGATAGTCCAGAGAATACAAATCGCTTTCAACTGATGGTCTCCCCGTTCGGTCTACAAGCTTCGGCGCAATGCAATTATTCCTATAATAACCTTTTTTTGTGCGAAGGTTTCAGTTTGGAACGGCATTTTTAGCTTTTCCGAAGACATCAGTCTTGTCAAAATCGACTATGACAGGGGAGAAGCTGGTCTAAAACATCGTTATTGCATTTTAGGTCATCGGGAACAAATTCACACGTATGAATATCGTCTTACGCGACTGCCGAGTTAGGAGGGATAAGAAAAGGTTAAAAATAACCCTCAGGTATACACAACCCAAGAGGGTATAGGACAGATTAAGAATAACCCTTAGGTATACACTACCCAAGAGGGTATGCAAGAGATTAAAAATAATCCTCAGGTATACACTACCCAAGAGGGTATAGAACAGATTAAGAGTAACCCTCAGGTATACGCTAACCAAGAGGGTATAGAAGAGATTAAAAATAAACCTCAGGTATACACTACCCAAGAGGGTATGCAAGAGATTAAAAATAACCCTTAGGTATACACTACCCAGGAGGGTATAGAAGAGATTAAAAACAACCCTAGAAGAAATTAAAAATAACCCTCAGGTATACACTACCCAAGAGGGTATGGGACAGATTAAGAGTAACCCTCAGGTATACACTACCCAAGAGGGTATAGAAGAGATTAAAAATAAACCTCAGGTATACACTACCCAAGAGGGTATAAAAGAGATTAAAAATAACCCTCAGGTATACACTACCTAAGAGGGTATAGAATAGATTAAAAATAACCCTCAGGTATACACTACCCAAGAGGGTAAAGGACAGATTAAGAATAACCCTCAGGTATACACTACCCAAGAGGCTATGCAAGAGATTAAAGATAACCCTCAGGCATACACTACCCAAGAAGGTATAGGACAGATTAAGAGTAACCCTCAGGTATACACTACCCAAGAGGGTATAGAAGAGATTAAAAATAAACCTCAGGTATACACTACCCAGGAGGGTATAGGACAGATTAAGAGTAACCCTCAGGTATACACTACCCAAGAGGGTATAGAAGAGATTAAAAATAAACCTCAGGTATACACTACCCAAGAGGGTATGCAAGAGATTAAAAATAACCCTCAGGTATACGCTACCCAGGAGGGTATAGAAGAGATTAAAAACAACCCTCAGGTATACACTACCCAAGAGGGTATGCAAGAGATTAAAAATAACCCTTAGGTATACACTACCCAAGAGGGTATAGAAGAGATTAAAAATAACCCTCAGGTATACACTACCCAAGAGGGTATAGAAGAGATTAAAAATAAACCTCAGGTATACACTACCCAAGAGGGTATGCAAGATATTAAAAATAACCCTCAGGTATACACTACCCAAGAGGGTATAGAAGAGATTAAAAATTAACCTCAGGTATACACTACCCAAGAGGGTATGCAAGAGATTAAAAATAACCCTCAGGTATACACTACCCAAGAGGGTATAGGACAGATTAAGAGTAACCCTCAGGTATACACTACCCAAGAGGGTATAGAAGAGATTAAAAATAAACCTCAGGTATACACTACCCAAGAGGGTATGCAAGAGATTAAAAATAACCCTCAGGTATACACTACCCAGGAGGGTATAGAAGAGATTAAAAACAACCCTCAGGTATACACTACCCAAGAGGGTATGCAAGAGATTAAAAATAACCCTCAGGTATACACTACCCAAGAGGGTATGGGACAGATTAAGAGTAACCCTCAGGTATACACTACCCAAGAGGGTATAGAAGAGATTAAAAATAAACCTCAGGTATACACTACCCAAGAGGGTATAAAAGAGATTAAAAATAACCCTCAGGTATACACTACCTAAGAGGGTATAGAAGAGATTAAAAATAACCCTCAGGTATACACTACCCAAGAAGGTATAGGACAGATTAAGAATAACCCTCAGGTATACACTACCCAAGAGGGTATAGAAGAGATTAAAAATAAACCTCAGGTATACACTACCCAGGAGGGTATAGAAGAGATTAAAAACAACCCTCAGGCATACACTACCCAAGAGGGTATAGGACAGATTAAGAGTAACCCTCAGGTATACACTACCCAAGAGGGTATAGAAGAGATTAAAAATAACCCTCAGGTATACACTACCCAAGAGGGTATAGAAGAGATTAAAAATAAACCTCAGGTATACACTACCCAAGAGGGAATGGGACAGATTAAGAGTAACCCTCAGGTATACACTACCCAAGAGGGTATAGGACAGATTAAGAGTAACCCTCAGGTATACACTACCCAAGAGGGTATAGAAGAGATTAAAAATAAACCTCAGGTATACACTACCCAAGAGGGTATGCAAGAGATTAAAAATAACCCTCAGGTATACACTAACCAAGAGGGAATGGGACAGATTAAGAGTGACCCTCAGGTATACACTATACCCTCTACCCAAGAGGGTATGCAAGAGATTAAAAATAACCCTCAGGTATACACTACCCAAGAGGGTATAGAAGAGATTAAAAATAAACCTCAGGTATACACTACCCAAGAGGGTATGCAAGAGATTAAAAATAACCCTCAGGTATACACTACCCAAGAGGGTATAGGACAGATTAAGAATAACCCTCAGGTATACACTACCCAAGAGGGTATACAAGAGATTAAAAATAACCCTCAGGTATACACTACCCAGGAGGGTATAGAAGAGATTAAAAACAACCCTCAGGTATACACTACCCAAGAGGGTATAGGACAGATTAAGAGTAACCCTCAAGTATACACTACCCAAGAGGGTATAGAAGAGATTTAAAATAAACCTCAGGTATACACTACCCAAGAGGGTATAGGACAGATTAAGAGTAACCCTCAAGTATACACTACCCAAGAGGGTATAGAAGAGATTAAAAAATAAACCTCAGGTATACACTACCCAAGAGGGTATAGAAGAGATTAAAAAAAACCCTCAGGTATACACTACCCAAGAGGATATGGGACAGATTAAGAGTAACCCTCAGGTATACACTAACCAAGAGGGTATAGAAGAGATTAAAAATAAACCTCAGGTATACACTACCCAAGAGGGTATGCAAGAGATTAAAAATAACCCTCAGGTATACACTACCCAAGAGGGTATAGGACAGATTAAGAATAACCCTCAGGTATACACTACCCAAGAGGGTATACAAGAGATTAAAAAATAACCCTCAGGTATACACTACCCAAGAGGGAATGGGACAGATTAAGAGTAACCCTCAGGTATACACTACCCAAGAGAGTATAGGACAGATTAAGAGTAACCCTCAGGTATACACTACCCAAGAGGGTATAGAAGAGATTAAAAATAACCCTCAGGTAAACACAACCCAAGAGGGTATAGGACAGATTAAGAATAACCCTCAGGTATACACTACCCAAGAGAGTATGCAAGAGATTAAAAAAAACCCTCAGGTATACACTACCCAAGAGGGTATAGAAGAGATTAAAAATAAACCTCAGGTATACACTACCCAAGAGGGTATGCAAGAGATTAAAAATAACCCTCAGGTATACACTACCCAAGAGGGTATAGAAGAGATTAAAAATAACCCTCAGAGATATGCTACCTAAGAGGGTATAGAATCAATGTCTAATTAGTCCGGCACAGAGACCAATTGAAGATATAATATGCATGTTGTTTGGTTACCTGGCGTTGAACGAACACCCTTTGTTAGCGCGCTTGAGATCTGCTGGCGGGAGAGAACGTATTGTAGTCATCGCGGAATCGACGGAACAATTCGTTCTTTGCAAAAGCTTTCGCCCTGATTTCACATTAACTCTTCGTTAGCACGTACCAGTACTTTTTGGGGTCGACATTGGATCCCATAACTATAATAAGCTCAGCCGATCGATCGAAGACTTCGGCCTCCATTATAAGATCGCGCCAAGTGATTTCAATGCCAGATTTCTTGTGTTTTCGTAATTGAAATTCGAGCATAGATGCAGTAATAATTATCAGGTGAACCTTTAACTTATAATCAACAGGTTTAAGTAACCGCATAGACATCTACCGACCGCAAACGTTGATGTAATTCTATACACTGATGACCGAAATATAGCGCCTCCGTAGAATGCATGCTGCGAATTTTTTTCGGGGCCAAAGCTCCTCATGTAAAACTACGTCATCGTCAATCAACTGAGAAGTAATTAGGAAATGTCCATGTTTACCAACTCAACCCCTTCAACGTCGTCACGTATTATAAATAATATTTAGTATTTTGCAATATGCACAAGAAACCACTCAAAAAAAAAAAAAAAAAACCTAAAGCAAGGTTACATTGGTACCCGTTACAAGTTTTTAAAAATGTAGGACTTCCACTAGTCAATTTCTACGAGAGAATTGTATCTTGAGTGCAAGCGCCGAAGTCAGGCATTAGATCACTATCTTTCATATTTTGAACGGAATTAGAAAGTTAAGCCTCCTCACGATATATTTTTCTTGAGATAGGAACATATTCCTTTGACAATTCGTATATTAACTTAAGGTTTTGAGTAGGAACGACCAACGAAAAATCGAAGCCTAAAGAATAAAGAGGACAAGGTCCAGTGAAGAGAAAAGCAGAAGTTTTTGTAGAAAAGTTTAAGTTATGCGCTTGAATGTCAGATTTCATGATCCTATCCTAGCGGCGCTAACAAAGGTGACATGAATTGAAAATAAAGCTATGTAAAGTACTATAATATAGATTTGCTGAAGATTACAGGAAGGCACACTATATACGTTAAATCATTCAATTTCCTCTTTCGTTTTACAAGTATTTTCACAAACTTGGTTTAAGCATGATCAGGACCCTCGGTATCACGGATGAATTGAAATACCAAACCTTAAACCTTCCAAAACAGTTGACAAAGGTACAGCTTTCAAACTCCCTCTCTTTACGTGGCACAACGATGTTGTACAATGATTTACAACGTGAACAGCTATTTTGAATTGTATATAATCGTTCGCTTTAACATGCAATTTAAATTTTTCTAAGCTAACTCAAAAGACTCATCTTTGACAATAATCACTTGTTATATTTATATATTGCCGCGTATGTCCGATTAGGAGTCAATCAAATTAGAGCGCCATTAGATTAAATAATAATAATATTAAAAAACAGAAGGATTAAGAAAGTCTCCCTTGGAAATTCTTATTGTAACCAACCTTACTGTTGAAGGAAATAGAGGAGTTTCACAGCTAAGAATTTTAGGATTCCACAGGGCAGTTAAAACGTGATCGATCCTTGCTAACGTACGGCGAATTGTAATACGCTTCCTTTTAGAGTAGAGCATAAACTGACCTTTGTTTGAAAACGAGGGTAAGTGCACATTACGCCTTTGACATGAAAACGATTTCCTTTGTTATTCTCATGTTAATCAAACTAATAAACACAAGAAAAAATTTCGCACGTAACCTATTTTGGGAGCATTTGGAGAGTGATCAGAACGCGGAAAAGCCCACTGGTTTTTAACAATCACTGGGGTTTCACGTGTAATCACGGTCGACAAGATCGAAGTTCATGTTATAAAAGTATAAGATTTGTTAGTATGGACATAGCCATGGAATCTCTTTCTAAAGAAAGGTATTTTGTTTTTTGTTCCTGTTCAAGCAAACATGACCATGGTTACTTCTTTAAAGAGCAACAATTATACCTAATTTTGTTTTAACAACTGAGTTGATAATTTAAATTAGCCATCATCAAGAATTTTGAAGCTGACGTTTCGAGCGTTCGCCCTTCGTCTGAAACGGTAATAGTGTTTCGTAAAGGCTGAACCCTCTGCCGGATCTTCCCAATAAATAACGTAAGTGTGACCTCAACCCATAATTGTGAAAACGTGACGCGTTCGTGAATTAATCGTTGGCTCTTTCTCGAAACGTGACTTTGGGTCGCCTGTGACAAGACAATTGCGTAAACAATACTTGACATAATAACATTATACACAAAAAACACGGGATTTTGGATCATGTATTTATTAAAAAAGAATATCCATACACCTACAATGAAAACAAACATAAGATTCACCTTTCTGATCGTGAAATTAATACCATTCGCACTGTTATCGTAGCTACGTTCCCTGGCATTAAGTGAATCCAACATGGCGTCTTTCTTCACTAGCAGTTTGCATCCATTTGAATTTTGTTCTTCAGTCTCACGGTAGTAGTGTTGTTCAATAGATTGCATAGAGTATATGCAGTTTGGTTTCAGATTTCAGATTTTGCTTTTTACAACGAGTTTACGTTTTCAACTAAGACATTGGCATACTTGGCATACAAGACATACAAGGCATTCAATGCTTTCATGGCTTTCAAGCGTTCGCGATTCTGTCTGATCCAAAATAACCGCTCAATAACATCTTTTTGTGTGGATTGGCCGCGAACAATACGACTTGCGTATGCGTCTATAAGTATTTTGAGCGTTTGCCCCATAATGCTCCAGATGATCGTAATCCAATTACGTTGAAATACAAAACGACTGACAAAATAGTTTTAGGGGCAAAAATCTCGTGTTCGTCATGTGACCCGGCCCTGTCCGTGCATGACAACGTCAATTATCATCAAGATCAGCATGTGAACACCTCATTGGATCACAGTTAGTTGTCATGGTGTTGAGGGCCCAATGACCTCTGGGTACTATTGCGCAATTTTTCCATTTTGTGGCGGAGGAAAAAAACAAAAAAAAAACAAAACTAGACCCTGTGAGCAGGGTAACTGGGATACCTGGATGGTACTGGATCCTTGGAATCAAGTGTAGTGATACTACGGGTGTCGGACTAGTATACTGAAATAGTGCGCTCAAGTCTAGCCAAGGGCATACACCTATTTCAAAACATAGGCATGCTATGCGTGCAAGAGTTCCTTTTTTGTAGGGTGGGTGGATTACTTGAAACATTGTGAGTGATGTCTACATTCTTACAAAAGGAGAGAAGAATATTAATGTGGGAAAGAACGAAAATGTCGAATTTCCTCACTCACAGGTATTTTGTGGTAGATTATGTGTGTTTTGCGAATAAATGTAACCAAAAATAAACTGTATTGGTGCCACGGATACCTGTTAGTACAAAATGCAGACAGCAGACTGCAGACCGGATACAAAATATAGACTGCAGACTGCAGAGTGGGTACAAAATGCAGACTAAGAATCTGAAGAGTTTTTGCGTCTGGTATATAATAACATGTCATCTTACAGCTTACCAAGCGTCACGCAATCGCTTTTCTGCAACCGTCTTCACGATTATTTGCACTATTGTGGAATATTCCTGGCCCATTTCTTGATGAAAATCGATCGCAATATTATTTCAAGCCTTCATTATAGTCTTCTTACGTTGCGCGCGAGTTGGTTGGTGTGATGTCTGTACAGATTTTATCAACGTAATAAAAGTAGATGATGTAAACAACAGTGATGGTAAAGCACGCTTAAAACGGCAGAAATCGCCAGAAAATACAACGGATACACAGGGTATGAGTAAGGTTTATTGATTTTACGAGAAAAATGTTCATATTACGAAATATGTATCGTTGTAAATCGACCATACTTCGTTCCATGGACTATTCCTTATAACGTGCAGTTCCTCTCGTAACTTAACACCGAGTCACACAACGCGTGACACGTTCATGAATTAATCGTTGGCTTTTTCTCGAGACGTGAGCTTGGGCCGCCTGTGACAAGACAATTGCGTAAACAGTATTTAACATAACAACATTTTACACAAAAAAACACAAGGTTTTGGATCACGTATTTATTAAAAAAGAATATCCATACAACTACAATGAAAACAAACATAAGATTCACCTTTGCGACTCAATCCGTTCCAAAATTACTGCTTAAAAACATCTTTCAGTGTGGATTAGCCGCGATTAATACGACTTGTATATGCGTCTGTAAGTATTTTGCGCGTTTGCGCCATAATGCTCCAGGAGATTGCAATCCAAATACGTTGAAATACAAAACATCTGACCAAAGAGTTTTATAAGCAAAATCTCGTAATTCGTCATGTGACCCGGCCCTGTCTGTGCATGACAACGTCAATCATCATCAAGATAACACGCGTGATCAGCATGTGAACACGTCATTGGATCACAATTAGTTGTCATGGTGTTGAGGGATAACACGCGTGATCAGCATGTGAACACCTCATTGGATCACAATTAGTTGTCATGGTGTTGAGGGATAACACGCGTGATCAGCATGTGAACACCTCATTAGATCACAGTTAGTTGTCATGGTGTTGAGGGCCCAATGACCTCTGGGTACTATTGCGCAATTTTTCCATTTCGTGGTACAGGTATCCCAGTAAAAAAAGATTCATTTGACTTTTTGTTTGAGTGAAGGCGGTGGGACCATGGCCTGGTGACTAGGGAGCAGACCTTTCTCCCAGGCCCCAGGTTGAAGCCCTCCAGCCAGTTAGGGTTCAGTTGAACGCTATATATTCATGTTGAACGATAACGTTTATTTTCAATTTGTTTGCATGAATTTGAGGCCCACAAATCTATAATTTTTGTAACTGTTTAGTGTAACCATCTGTTAAGAAATTCTTTACTATTATAAAAGTGGTACTCTTTTGATTTAGGTGCTATTTAGTACACTTGTTTACACAATTGGGCGCGATATCGCAGTTTGATTTAAATAAAAAAAAACTTAATATCAGTATACGAGTGTTAGCTGTGTTCGCCTAATCTAACTAAACTTCAAAATTCGGACTGTCCATTTCGTTTACTCTTTGAGGATTTTCGTCTCTGTTTACGTTATAATAACGTTACGTTATTACAAAGTTGTTTCATCTTCATTTAATTTCACACTCGATTTCGGATTCGATTTCGGATTGGGAGTCATAGGAAAATA